CCCCAAAACCCCAAAACCCCAAAACCCCTCTTCTTTAGATAATAATTGAAAATGTCTAATGAAATATATGTAAATTCATGAATAACGTACAGGTTGATCCTGAATCAAAGAAAGTCTGAATTAATTCAAACATTCCCCAAATAAGTCAGAGTCCGAAGGAGGGGGAGCCACAGGTTAGGTCCAGGAATAGGTCACATTCTTATACAACAATGACGGAAAATTTGTATAAGAAAACTATCCTGCCCAAGAAATTTGATCAGAAGAGGAAAAGGATATGGCAGACATCTGATGATGATTTTGAGCATTATATGAATCATAGAAAATAACAGGTTTCAGGCCTATTTTAACAGGACAACTGAGCTAGAAAGTGCAAATGGCGTTAACACGCCACAGGACTTACTAAACTCTTATTCTCTTTCGAGGGATAAGAATAGGAAAAATTTGTTAGCTAAGGTACATTCTTGAGCTTATCTTTAGCCTCTCAGAAATCCCTCTGCTTGAAAAAGTAGGCTACTCGATCCCAAATGGGAGAAAAGTCTTGCTGAGTACGAGTCTAGGTCCCGGTCTATAGAGCCTAAGTACAAGCTGCTGTACAATAAGCACAAGAAGGTTAACTTCCAGGTACGACTGAAACCAAGAATCCAAACCAGGAACCAACATTACTGGGACGAAGAGCGTAATAGTGCAATGAGACCTGTAAGAAGAGGGAAATCTAAATATGACATTTTAGCGAGGGATTTAGGAGGTCATAGTTGGGAAATTAGCTTTGAGTGAAAAGAGAAGGGTTGAGGTTATGGATAATGGATAAATAGAATGTGAAACTGAATTTTTGCTTTTGTGAATGATTCATTTGGGATTAAGATGGAGAAATGGGGTAAAAATAATAGCAACATGAAGATGATATTTTAAATAGTCATTATATAGTATATATCAGAGTCTTATAAGTAGTATTTGTACCGAGATTAGCAGAAAATTAAATTAGATTTATTTTTATTGTTAATTACAATGAAAAATAATCAATATATTATTTAAAGCATAAAAATTATGTTAATGACCAAGTAAAAGAGTGATTTTTCAATTTTCATCACCATATCAGTCATAAATTTCATTCTCTTCATCAAATTTTTCACTTCCCTCAACCCCACCCCCTCTCAGCCCCTCCAAACCACTTCCCATCTAGGTCCCCACCCAAACCTCCCACCCCAGAGCCCTTACTTCCATCACCTACCCCAAAACCCACCAAAAAGTAACCCTCACCCTCAATTCCTTCTAGCTAAAATCCCATCTAAACCTCAAATTCCAAACAGACCTAAACCCCAGCATCCTCCTATTCAACGCCCTCAACTCCCGCATCAGAAAGTGCTTCTACAGGGACGCCCAAGGCCACATGGCTGTGTTCCAGGAAAGACTGTACAGGATCCACCCAGTGGTTTGTAAATAATCTCACGCTTGAGTCCTTCACTGTGATCTTGAGAAATTGTAAATTTTTAGTGGTCAAGCAGGGAAAAGTTCTGTATAAGCAGAAAGCATGGGCCAGTGCGTTTTATTTTGTGCTGTGAGGAGTTCTGAGGCTTGAGAGGGATGGTGAGGTCTATGGGCAAGCGCAACTGGGGAATTTTGTAGGGGAGGATTTCATGTTTTTGCCTTCGGAGAGATTGGAGAGTTATAAGTTTCATGAAACTGCTATAGCTGTTGATGAAGCCTACCTTCTTGAAGTGCCTTTGTATATTTGGCAGAGAGTTAAAGGGATACTTTTGGAGATGGGAAATGTTCAATGAGTTAAAAATTTTCAGACGTTAATCAAGAGTAGTTATGTATTGAAAAGAAATTGGAAAAACTTTGTTGATAATGCATCAACTCCTTTGCTTTAGGAGTTATAATACTTAACAGTTTTTGAGGATAAAACATGAGATAAACATATCTTCACATTTGTAGTTTTTTAATTCTGATAGGGGTTTTGGGGTTTTGGGGTTTTGGGG